TAGATTTTAGAGTCGTGGTTGTGAGCCATAAGATGTCAGATGTACAAGGGTGAAGCTCCAAAAAAATTATCTAACCAAGTTACTCAAGAAATTAATAGCTGAGCTGGGACTTAAGTCTCATGATTTTTTAGTCCAAATATTTCCATGGTCATATTTCAAGTAATCCTGCAGAGAAAAAATATTTTAGTGCATAAAAGTACTTAGGAATTTAACAAACTTTAAAAAATCATAATTATTTTATTCAACAAATACTTATTGAATACCTACTACTTGTCAGGGACTATTCCTAGTGTCAAGTGATTGCATGAGGTTATATTCTATTGGAAGCAGACAGACAAACTGATTGAAAACAAACACCTAGGTGATGATAACTGCTATGGGGAGAGGGAAAAATTGAGCATGGGGAGTGAGCTGAGTGGGTGGTCACAGGAGCCTCTCCCACCTGCCTCCGTGACAGAGCTAAGGATGTCCCACTGCCGGCTATGGCCCGCTCCCAGGGAGCAGGCCTAAGCGGTCAGTCTGACATCCCTTGAGGGTTTCTGGACTGTGAGAGGGTGCAGGCCAAGCTGAGGGACCCTCTGAGTGCACATATGTTATGCACCGGGCTTCTAGTAGCAATTTAACCTTGAGCAACCCTTTTACCTTCCCTGTGCTTTCATTTGTTTACGTGTAAAGTGGGAATAACACAGTAGTATCTATCATGTAAGGATTGCATGAGTGAAAAACATATTTCCTGGGACTTGGTAAGGACCCAATTAATATTAGCTGTCAATACCATTGACTAGCTGACCTCCAATTGATGACAATGACACCACATCCCTCTAGTATGTGGGCATCTACTTACCTTGCTGCACTGATCCCTTTATAATTATGGTACCACCATTGATCAGGTTGAAAACAAGCTAAGGAACTAATCTCCAGCTCTATATGATTTAGCTCTTTTGCATAATTTTTATATTAGTACCTTCAGTAAGAGATTATTGAATAAAGGGTGTATGTGTGTTGTTTTTTAATCTTGGTAGAAATGATCAGTTGGGATTTCTAAATCCCAATTTAATGAAACTTTTTCGGGGAAAAAACTTCAAGATAACAAAAGCTCACATCACTAAAAGCATGCTTTGGCAAAACCCTGCTATGAAATCTGTATTACAGTGAGAGGCCAACATTCTTTATGGAGTTGAGATGCAGGGCCGAGTGGATACAGAAATTATAAATCTGGGAATAAAAATGTCATAAAACAAATTAACCCTCAGATCTCTAAGGACTGTACAAAAATTGATAGCAGTACATCTAGCAGTTTATAAATTGGGGTGCTTAGGAAAACATCATCTTATCACTTACCAAGCACCTCTGTGTGTGTGTGTACAGCACTGGGTATACATCTGAGGGCACAAAAGAACTAAGGCAACTACTTTTATTTTTTTTATCTGATTATCCCAGGGTGAAGTATTCTGTCCTTCCTCTAAACACTGACATATATTACATAATTCTTTGACAATTATGTACTAACCTTGTGATATTTTCTCTCTTAAATTCTTGAATTGTAACTCAGTATTTTGTAACTTTTTATGTCTGTTATTTATAATTGACCTCCCCACTAGAGTACTCTAACTGCTCCCCAAAATGAAGGCAGCCAGCAATCTTTATGAAGACTAGATTCCTTCAAGCTCATCCTTACATTCAGGAAGCAGCTCTTTGGAAACTCATAATCTGGAACTAGTTTAACAAACCCTTATCCTTGACAGGTGATGATTCTTTTGCCCTCTAGTCCCATTGGTTTGCCACAAGTCTAGCTTACCTTCTCAGCTGACTCTTGCAGATCAGCACACACTTGGAAACAGAAGAAATCCAGGCAAGAGAGAGAAAGCAATAGGTGGCACATAACTAGGATGCTATTTAAATGCAAAAATATCAGAAATTACATTAAATATAAAAGGGCTAAATACTCCAGTTAAAGCTCAAAGGTGATCAGACTGGATTAAAGCCGAAACTCAAACCATATAATTTTCAAGGACATCTATCTGAAACTAAAGGATATACAATGGGTGAAAGTAAGGGGGCGGAAAAGTTATATTGTGCAAGTGCTAACCAAAAGAAAGCCCCCCGTAGCAATATTAAGAATAGAAAAAATAAAGAGGCAAAAATCTTTGCTAGCCATAAATTCATTTCACAAGGATAAAATATTTTGTTCACTAGGAATGTATAATAATCCTAGATTTGTATATGTACCTAAAACATGACCTTAAAATATGGAAAACAATATTAACAAAATTATAAGGAGAAATAGGCAAATCCATAATCATAGTGGGATGTTTTTATATTTTTTTCTCAGTAAAAAAGAAACAACAACAACAAATCAGTAAGAATATAGAATGTTTGGACAACGTGAATAAAAAGCTTGACGGTATTCAAATTAAGACCTGATTAAGTCATCTTTCTTTTGTGGAAGAATACATATTCTTTTTTTCCTATCGATTCCTCCGTGCAAGTAAAAATATGAAAAAGCCTGCAATACACCTGTTTCTACATCACACAAGAGACTATATTGTACTCTGAATACGCACATTTAAAATTAATTATTATCCATCTCTAGTTCCATCATCTTGGTATTAGTATTACAGGTTGTATTCTTTACATTGCTTAATTTTGTGAATTACCTTGGATAACAACTATCTTATTGTCTAAACTTATTTCCGTCGCCCATGTTGTTAGGACATACAAGTAAAAAAGTGCTAAATATTTTTAAAATTACAGTAACTTCGTTAATTCTGTCACTCTATGGGCAGGATTTAGGGATTGCGTGGGAGCTCTCAAATCACTACTTAAAACCTGGATGGGAAAAACCTCAGATTTCAGAACAAGTAGTGCTATATAAATATGCAAAATTACTAGGTGGAAACACCTTTGGATTTAAATATAATTGCCATTGTCTTGCTAATAGTAATATTCTGCAAACAAAGGATATATATTTAATGGGTATTTCTGCTATAAAAGAAACTGCCTTTGGGGAAACAGTCCTGCCATCTTAGGAGAAAGAAACATGGTGTGTGACAATATTGGGATTGAGAAGGAGGATGAAGGAACATTTGATAATTTCTTTTAAAGAAGAATTTTTTTAAAAAAAATATATTTTTATTGATTTTGTACAGAGAGGAAGGGAGAGAGACAGAGAGCCAGAAACATCGATGAGAGAGAGTCATCGATCAGCTGCCTCTTGCACACCCCCTACTGGGGATATGCCCGCAACTAAGGTACATGCCCTTGACCGGAATTGAACCCGGGTCCCTTCAGTCCCCAAGCCGACGCTCTATCCATTGAGCCAAACCGGTCTCGGCTAAAGAAGAATTTTTAAAATCTATCTTTTCAACCTTTTCTATACATATTTGGTGAGCTGTTAAAAATACCCATAATAAGTTTTTACAAAACATGAAATGGCTTTTCTTCTTTAAAGGGCGAAACTAAGATTCAACCTGAAGAATACATTTTGCTCTGCTGTCATCTTTATTAGAACAGATATAACACCTATAACCAATATGGCACATGAAAAACAAGTGAGGCGATGGCATTTGGAGGAATTCCATTTATTGTGGATGCATTTTCACAATATATACTTATTGCAGCGGTCAGTCATCAGTGAAAAACATCAAGTGTTTATATAACATTTTTAGGAATGGCAGATTCACAGAACATGCTAGTCACCTTGCAGTTTTACCTCCTAAAGATAATGCAGAGAATTGTAATCAAACAAGTAAACATGGGATTTATTTTTTTCCAAAAGATTAAATCCAAAACGGAACAAAATTCTACCCTAAAACTTATTCCATCCAAATACCGGAATAAAAGTCAGGATCGATATCTTCTCAACTTTAGACTTTCTAGAAAAAAAATAATATATATATATATATATATATATATATATATATATATATACACACTAGTGATCAGGAGAAGCTCTTGTTCAAAAGTACAACAAAGTAATGTTGTATCGCTATGGGCCTTAGTTCAAACTTCGATCCATTTCACTCCAATGATGGAAGTCTGTGCTAAATCAGGCACTACCTGTGGGTTCTAGGCTATCTTATCATAGATTCATATCTATTCTGTCACGGGTGGATGACTTGTGCGATCTTGGTGGTTTTACTTCCTTTGGCCCAGGTGTGCTGAAAGCTAGAGAATTCAGCTACACTTTCCTGATCTTTGAGAAAAAGAGACTCTGCAAGGTAGTAGTCACTGCTCAGGTCAGCCTGCCCTGGCTAGCTCATCCAGGGAAATACTGTAGGTTAGAAAATAGTCATTTGTGAGGCTCCCTCATTGTGGTAGAAATCGAGAGTAGGACACTTTGGTTAAGTCAAATGAGGTATAAGTTTATAGAACTATCCTATATATCTCTATGCTAAAACATATTGCCAAGACAGAGGAGTACTCTTTTATCATCTATCGTGAAGAATAGATGAACACTTATAAGCTAAAATAAGATCTGATGTCTAGAGTACGTGTATAAAAAAGATGATTTGATAAAGATTCTTGGGAAAAATAGTAAAACTACTAAAAGTTACACATATTTTTTGCAAGTTCAATACCTTGTCAACTTATGACAAGTACCAATGACTAATAAAAGTAGAAACCTTTAATTTAAAAAATGGTTTAGTATAATAAAGATGGAAGGACTATCATGACTCTTAAATACTGGAATTGACTTACTTCTTTTCTGCTTCCAGACATTAGCCAAAGCTGGTCTTTGCATTTCCACACATGGAATTTCAATCTGGACGATCTTGTCACTAAAATTCTCGTCTTTACATTTTTAGACAAAGAAGAGACCTCTGATATCCTCTAGGCCAACCTATTGTGAATTTGATTGCTAACAAAATAAAGTTCTCAGCAAGCTTTGAGTTTGATCCAGATGGTAGATTTAGTAAAATTCACATTGGACTTCCAAGATTGCTTTTCATTATAAGCTACATACTATATATATTTTATAGAAAATGTCAATTCATCTCGACATTTTGAATCTTTTTTTTTTCTTACAGTTTATTTATTGGACATTGAAGATATATTGATACCTATTCTGCCATGTCTCTATTGGCAAATACGAGTATTAATATAATGTGATTTTTTAATTTTTGAAAAGCTGTGATATTGGCTAGTTACAAGGACATATTGCTAAATATAATAGTCTAGCACATAAAAGAAGCTTTCTACCATTAGTGTGTTTGTATACGTGTATGCACATACATACATGATCAGGTCATCTAAAATGTGGTTTACTATCACTACCGGAGAAATCCACAAAGCAACCCACCTAAAGAAATCAGTACCACTGTCTTCTAACATCATCATCCAATGTAGATAATCATCGGCATGAAAAAAGTAATACCTTAACAGTACGTTTTTAAAAAAAGACAATCATCATGGCAGAATCTCAAATCTGAAACGCGTTACTTTCAGAAAGTGTTACAATTGCCTACTAAGATCATTTCTTCCATGCTTTATTCTAAAGTGCAGAAACAACATGACTTTTGTATTTAAAACAAAAAAAAAAGCAACAAAAAAACCCAAACCCCACTTTGGTTTGTTTTTCTGGACACTGCACACATTCCTCAGGCAAATTTCCAGCTTGAACCTCCTTCTGCTCGACTTCCGACGACGTGGCTGGTGTCACCGTCCAGGCAGAGCTATGATGATCAGTAGAAAGTCTCTATTTCACAGCATGGGCTTCTTTAGAAACAGGCTCCTGTGCAAAGGCAGTACTTTTACCATGAACTTCTCTAGACTGTGATTATTAAATATAGTGATAATATACATGGGGATAATGAAAAATAAAACAAAAGGAGATTAACCCAATTTAGTAAATCAACATAAATATAAAACAGAGCACATTAGCCCTCTTCAGCTGTGCTGGTCCAGCATCGTGAGTGGCTACTCTGGCTTCTTTCTTGAACCGTCTCAAACCTGTTAAGAGAAGAGAGCTCTGAATCGGCAGGCACAGTGCTTCTGCCAGATGTTTATGTCAGAAGAAAACAAAATTATGATATGTCAGGAATAAATATTTGTGAAAGGGAGGATTATTGTTGGCATTCTATTCAAATATGCTCCTCTTAGTCTTTCTCCTGTTGACTTTTTTCACCCTCCCCTTCCCTTCCCTCCCCTTCTCTTCCCTCCCCCCTTTCCTTCCTTCCTTTTTTTCTTTCTTTCCTTCCTTCCTCTCTTCTTTGTATTACCTTTTCTATATCTTGATCTTTAGCCTTGCTCAGGGCATTCAGAGGCAGTTTTATTTTTAACACCCACTCTAAGGGCCAGGAATCTATAGTGTGCATTCCAGAACAGGCATACATGATGGAATGGCAGTCTCGACGCAACAAGGCAGGAGGGTAAAGTGGACTATGCTTACCTTTAGGTTTCTCCTGTTCTTTATTTCCTCCCTCCTGTACTTCAAGCCCTATTCTTGAGACTTATCTGACATTTGACTCATAGTCTTATATGTCTATCATTTCTTTCCCCCAGCTAGCTGCTAAAAAATCCTTGCTGAGGTGTTGATAAATATTAAAGTACAATCATTCCTCAGTATCTTAGGGGGATTGGTTCCAGGCCCCCATGGACACCAAAATCTGTGGACACTCAAGTACTTTATAGAAAATGGCATATTAGTTGCATATAAACCAAATACCTTAAATCATCTCTCGATTATTTATAATACCTAGTACAATGTAAATGCTATATAAATAGTTGTTATACTGTATTGTTTAGGAAATAGTGATAAGAAAAAGTCTGTGCATGTTCAACACAGAAGCAACCATCATAGGCCTAACTGCATAGTATACATTAGCAACAATGTAATGTTTTTGGTCCCAGGTTGGTTGAATCTGTGGTTGGTTGAATCCGTGATGCACAACCTGAGGACACAGATGATCCAATGTAGTACTGTGAATCTGCATTTTCAAATGTGTTGTATGTTTTCATTTCAAATGAATCACTGCATGACGTGTAGTGAGTCTGGCATTTTGGAACAAAGGAACTCCTTACTCTGTTACCTCATAACCTCAGCTGTGGTCCTAGTGATTGTAGAATTACTAGAGGCCTGGTGCACGAAATTCATGCACGGGAGGGGGAAGGTGCAGGGGGCGGGTGTCCCTTAGCCCGGCCTGCAATTTAGGACCCTTCGAATATTCCTCTTACGAGCCGGGACTGCTGGCTCCTAACTGCTCCTGCCTGTCAGCCTGATCGCCCCCTATTCGCTCCCCTGTTGGCCTGATTGATGCCTAACTGCTCCCCTGCTGGCCTTATTGCCCCCAAGTGCCCTCCCCTGCAGGCCTGATTGCCCCTAACTGTCCTCCCCTGCCAATCTTATCTTGCCCCCAACTACCCTCCCCTACTGGCCTGATGGCCCTCAACTGCCCTCCCCTGCCGGCCATTTCTGATGACATGAGAGCATTGTAAGAGCGTGTAAGGACCACCTAGGCTTTTATTAGTATAGATTACTGTAGGAAGAGTTTCTGGGCTAGATCAAGAAGGAGGGGGCAGTGCATGTGTGAGGACTCACCCTGTCACCCTCCCACCTTGTGCCACTATGCTGCACAATTCCGGGGAGTGCCACCATTCCTGCTGTGTTGTATGTGAGTGGTGTTCTCTGAGTCCTACCATTCCAGATCATATCTTCACTTCACGTCCCAGAACCCTGGCTCAGGGGAATGTTATCTAGAGGGGCCCCATTATACCCATGATGATGCACAGTGGACAGCTGACATTCTCTATTCCAAAAGGGGACTATATAAACATTTGGACTGACATTACCTTGGCAGGGCTTGTGACCTTATCCACGGATTGCTTTTCCCAGAGGTTCCGCTTGCCAGATACATCTCCTGGCCTCAAATCCTATTGAAGAGAAAGCAGAAAAAAATTAACACATGGCCATGTATATTTTCTGCCAGGTCTAAATAAATCACCACATCTGTGTTTGTTTGTTTGAATTGATTTCTTATTAATACATTTTATCCTAGTGATCAGAAATGGATGGCATTGAAAGGATCATTAGCCATTGTCTTTATAATAGATCTGGACCTGCGTTCTGATATGAGAATGGGAAGGAACTGTCCAGCATTTAGGTCCTGTTCTTCACTAAAGACTTATTGTTTATAGGTCAGTAAAATTGGAATACAAGCATATTTAAAATAATATAGCCTATTTTTAACTTTCTATGCTCTTAGAAGTGAATACAGTTTTAAATACAATTGATTCTTGAACAATGTGGGGGTTAGGGGCATAAACCCCTTCCCCCCACACCTCTGTGCAGTAGGAAATCTGCATCAACCTTCTAATGGCACTTTCCTCAGACTCAAGTCATTTTGTGTTTCCTGCAGAGTGAGTGGAACATTCAGAAGTACATCATCAGGGCCTAGCCTCATCAAAGTAAGCACTGACCACAAATTGTCCCCATAAGAGAAACTGACACTTAATAGCATATGTGAGAACATGTGGAAATCTTGGGGAGAAAACAGTTCTATAGCTTTGATTCTTGATTTGCTACCTCGAAATTAATTTGGTTTGGACAAGGATTCACATTTCTGGTTCCATTTACTTTCCTTCCAGCGTGTGCTTCTATTAGTACTTGGCAACAGGCAGTCTGTAGAAAATAAATGTGTTTTAACTGAAATAGTCATGTTTACTTTGGCACATCCTTTTCTCATTAGGAAGGCAAAGCGAACAGCAATTGCATTTATCCATGGACACCAGTCTAAGTGGGCATATTTGACAAGTATAATAGTATGGAGGGCGCAACACTGGAAGGGCACTAGTTAAATGTACCATGTAAAGCATTTCAGATTTTTAATTTTAATTAAAATTTTTTTTTTTGTTTTGCATTTCAGATTTGCCTTAATCCTACTGAGTTTCTGGAGTTCCATTGTGGCATGAATTCCTGATATCCTATTTGAGAGCTACACCTATTTAACTTGGAACCAGCAAGCAACAAATCAGATGGTTTTTGAAGGGTTCCACTGCATTTGCCAATGTAGGGAGAAGCTGCCAAATTGTCTGGAAGACTGTTTTAAAGTTTTGGAAACTATAATTAGGCACATGCTGATGGAAGCTCTGGAAAGTGGCTATTATTACTTTATTTATTTGATTCACAGAAGACAAATATTTTTCTTTCACATGAATGTTCTACAGAAGAAAAACGGACTGTGGTTCCCTTAAATCTTACCTATGAATCTTTTGAGATCAATGAAAGAGCCTATTTTAAGAAAATGTGAACATCCAAGTGGTAAGTTGGCATTTTAAATCAAAGGGGAAATAGAAACGCAATTACCTGACCAGACTACATTTTAGACAAAGACCCAGTCTGGAAGAAGAGGGAGAAATGAAGGCAGGAGAAGCAGGTTTCCAGTCAACCCGAGATCAAAGAAGGAAGAAGAGAATTCAGCTGAGAAAAACATGGTTGTTGTTGTGTTGTTTTTTTAAACAAAAAGAAAGACAAATTAGCATTTTAATTTAGCTGCATGTAACATGTAGTTTAGACACAAAGAACAGACAAACCAGCTAAAACAGGCATACTCAGAATTGAATTCTGGCTACAAAGTTACACTGAAATCCCATAAATTCTGCCCACAAATAGCAAATTGATGTCCCAGGAGGGATCAGATGTAGATCAATGTTTGCTTTCAAATAAGTTAATTTTCAGAAACCCCCAAATAATATTGGTTTGACAAACTATTTTGAGCACTTTACTTCCTAGCATATTTGGAAATTATTCTACAACTTGGTGAAGGGTGGTTGTTCTGTCCAGTGAGTTTTGGAACTAAACACTAATCTCAAAGGAAACACTAACTTCCTTCTTCTGGAGGTTTTACTGGGTGAGGACCATTTCGGTGAAAGAATCTCCCTCTGTTTTTCTTCAAACACAAAGTCAGGCTTTCCTCTCTCGCCATACACACCAAGGAATACAAGCAAGGGACAGAGAATAAATCACCTGGGTCCACACTCAGGTGGCACCTTTGGGGGCCACTGTTTGAGGTTGTCTTTAGGTAACCCTCTAACTGTAACACCCTGGGCTCAGAGCTCAGGTTCAGTTTGGCTGGGGACCCAAAGGTGCCAAACTCAGAGTCCTGCCATGAAGGGCCAGGCTGAAAGCTCAAAGGCTTGCAAAGGCTCATTGTAAATAAAGAAAGGTGGGAATCAACCAATTCTGGAGGACATGCTTCCACACTTCAAAAATGTATCCAAATGACAATTCTTAAAAGGAAAATTAAGTACAATGGTGTGGGACAAACTACACACATCTTAGCTGCAGGACACCCGTGTGAGACCCCTGATAAAACCCGGGCAAGAGCTTTGCTTGACCTGCCGTTATAAGCTGCATTCCTGGACTTAACCTTTGGCCAGCCAAGTTTCATGCATCTTTTAGGCCTGTCTGCAGCTCGGAAATGTCCTCTTTTTCTGCTGGATCCATAGTGTCTGTGAACTACCCTCCTGCCTTCCTGTGTCCAGGTCACATCCCTTCCCAGAGAGAATGCCTTGCTGCTCTTCAGATCTCGACAAGAGCTGGCTCTGTCACCCACGAACTGGGCACAAAGCCGAACGTTGCTTGTTAAGTCTACTCACACTAGCTTTTCCTTTACAACGGCCACCACGTACTGCTTTCTTTCAATCTGGCCTTCATGCAGGAAGTTACCTAGTCTGCAAACTCGAATAGGTCATAAGAAAAGAGATCACCACAACCTGTGTGAACTGCCACTCCCCTTTCCTTTTCTTCTGTCTTCTAGGGCAGTGTTTCCCAAAGTGTGGTACGAGTACCCCCGTGGGTACGGGAAGAGTTTGGTGGGGGTACGCGTTGCACCGGAGTTTGGTGGGGATATGCACTGCACCGTGCTTAGCTGCGCCTAATTCTACGTTCTCATGAGTACGAGGGGTACTCAGCGTTACAAAAATTATAGAAGGGGTACACATATGTCAAAAGTTTGGGAAACACTGCTGTAGGGGATGGCCTCACAAATCACTAACTGACTAGTAGGTAAAGCAGGCAATGCTTTTGTAATTTCCCTGTCATACCTTTCTGTCCATATTTAATCTCCAAAGTCACTAGAGGTTATCAATTCCAATTGAAGAAGAAGAAGAAATGGAAACATTGTCTACATTTCTTGGATGCAACCCCTTATAGTCACCTAATTAATAGGATTTTTTGCCTAAGGGCTCATATGAGGTGTAAAACTAATGTAAACCCAATTTACAATAGAAAAGCCTTTATATACTGAAAAATATATATTTTCCCCTCTCCTGGTAGATAGGCCTCATGTGAACCCTTATGCAAAAAATCCTGACTATTAATTAGGTGACTATAAGGGGTTGCATCCAAGAAGTATAGACGATATTTCCATTTTTTTCTTCTTAAATTGGAATTTATAACCTCTAGTGACTTTGGAGATTAAATATGGAGCCACTGGATGCAATTACACGCTCCGTGGCACAGAGGTCTAGGATTTGGAAAGCGTTATTCTATGTGTTTCCCCGAAAATAAGACATCCTCCGAAAATAAGACCTAGTGCATGGAAACATAAGACATCCCCTGAAAATAAGACCTAGCGCAACTTTGGGAAAAAAAAAATTAATATAAGACACTGTCTTATTTTCGGGGAAACAGGGTACCTTTGCAATGGGATAGTTAGGACAGTTGAGTCTCTGCTCTTTTGGGCCCCAAGAAATATATAAAAGCCAACTTAACAGAGAAAACTCACCAATGTACCGTAGGCGCTTAATAAGGCTCTTTATCATAATGATAAATGCTAGGCAATTATCATATACATCCAATGAAAAGGTTAAAAGAACATTTTTATAGTAAAATAGTCACACTTAATAAATACTGAGAAATATTTAGATTTCCAAAAATAACAAGCTTTTATAGTTTCCAGTTTTACTGTGTTTTTCAAAATGGTTTTTCTTTGGAGGTGTTGACAAAAAAAAAAAAAATTATGGCAATTACTTCAACAACGACCTAAAAAATGATGGTTTTTTTTTTTTTTTTTTTTGTATAAAGTTACATAAATTAGGCAAATTAGAAACCATGGGTTCAAAATAGCCAACATACACATCCTTTGGGGAATAAGTTTAGGGGTGCCCTTGACAGAGAAGTGGCCAAGATAATTTGACATTTTCATTTTCAAATTCCTAGCAGTAATTTATAGATTAGGAGCTGAACACACAGACCGGTAAAGAGTGTAAATTTGAACGGCTTCGGAGTTCTGGTTAACCACCGCCTCTGGGCCACTGTGGGGCAACTGCTTGGGGCTGTTCTCTCTAAACCAGAACCCCAGGGAACAGGAGCGCTGCCTTCCCCAGGCAAACAGACCCACAGCCTGCTTTCTCCTGCTGTTGGAAGCTGAGGGATCAGGGAAACACAGAAAACCTGGGGCTACTCACCGAAGGTTTGGGAGCAGGTGACCTGTTTCCGTCTGGGGTTTTGGTTAGCCATTCATTGATGCGGCTGGAAACCCCCACCTTCAGGCCAGCAGTCTCCTGCAAAGAGTCAACCATCCAATAGTAAAGAAAAAGACAAACTTTACCTGGAAAGAAATCTTCAAAGAAACCTCAAATAATGCCATCGCATGTTATTGCACAGAACCATCCCATAACGCCAATTAATGATTACTTGTTATAATCTATATTTTGAGTAAAATGAACCTGAAACTTGATATTTAAAGAACGTTATTTGGTTTGCTTGCCCCCGCACCTCACCCCACCCCATCCCACCCCAACCCAAGGTTGATGATTCATTTCAAGAACTCAATTTAGAGGAGAGTGGCCAGAGCGAGAGGCACACACTGTGTAGCATCTGTGAGCTTGCTTTTATGGTTGTTGCAAAAGAAAATAAGAATTACACCTTCTCCGCTGCTTTTATAACCAGCTAATGCGGTTTGCTAAAAACAAAAGGACAAGAAGCCCACTCTCCACAATGAAGACAGAGCTCTGGCGCTCACCTTGTTTGGCGTGCCCGATGCGGTGGGGGAGGAAAACACGTTCCCTTTCTCCCACATGCTCTTGATATTGCGAACACCCTCCGCGGGAACAGGCAGATCTGAGGCTGCTGGCTTCGTAGATTTTGCAGCTTTTGTCCCCTGAAGTGTGTGGATTATTTTTAGGATTGGTGCTAAGTTTTGTTTTTTAATTTTATTGTTTAAGGTATTATATTACAAGTAGTAGTACATATGTCTCCTCCCTTCCCACCTCCCCTCCCCCAGCCTCCCCTAACTAGCCCCCAACACTTGTTCTCATCCCCCCGCCCCCCCCCAGTGTCTTGCGTCTATTGGTTGTGCTTATAGGCATGCATACAAGTCTAAGTTTGTTCTTGTCAAGTACTCTCTTCCCTGACAGTATCATTTAAAAGAGTAATTGTCTAAATGCTTTCACCAAAAATGAGAGTCCTTTCTGTTGTAAAACTGCATCCTGATGACCTATGTACCAAGAAATCCACCCTGAGATCTAGATCAGAGGGTCTTTCAAAAATGAAATATGCTTTTTACCGGGATGACATTGATTGTTTAAGTGATATTCTACTTCATTGCTTCAACAGATACCTAAGTGCCTACTGTGTGCAGGGCACTGTCTAGGCTCTGGTGTTACAGTGGTACCCAAAACAAGACAGTCTGCTCTGTAAGCAGAAGTGGACTTGCTTAGTAATTGATGATATAAGTATTTATTTCACATTTCGGTGTGTTACGAAAGATAAATGTAGTGCCATAAAGCATGTCAAAGGAGCACACAATAGGGGAATAATACCCTGTTTCCCCGAAAATAAGACAGTGTCTTATATTAATTTTTTCTCCCTAAGTTGCGCTAGGTCTTATTTTCAGGAGATGTCTTATTTTCGGGGAAACACGGGTAATAATAGAATAGGGAGCAAAGAAGTCTACTCTGAGGAAGTGACATTCAAACCCAGATTGATAGAGGAGTTGGAAATGGCTAGATAAAAGAGGCACAAACACCATTCCATGCAGAGGGAACAGCATATGCAAAGGGCTAGAGACAGGGACATGATAAAGGATTGAAAGAGTGCGAGGCCACTGCATGGAGAATATATGGGGAGGAGGAAAGAATGGATGTAAGGAAGAAAAGTGTGCAATTGAGATACTTTTCTGCAGTAGTGATGGGCATGCCCAGAATGATGCTATCTCCCCCCTGGTCCTGCTTTGTACTCTGTGGCCTGGGTGGTCAAGGTGGTCAGCCATGGTGAGTGGCACCATCACTGGACCATGTAGAGGCTGAAGCTATAGTCTTGGCTTCATCAACCCTATTTACAGCTATAATAACTGTAACCACAGAAAGTAACTATCTGCAATTTTTCTTTGATTTTAGTGCACATTTAATCTTGTGAAAATCAACTCTTGAGTATTAGGACTTGGTTATTCATTTGATAAATCATTCTGATCTCATTTTTATTCCCTCATAACTTAGTTGATTGTGAATATTTTATACTTATGTTCACTCTGCAGTGCAAAGGAGAGGAGAAAAATAAAATCAAGTTTATCCAATTCCTTCATAGCAGATGCTTTGACATAAAAGGTGGCTAAAATCATTGACTTAGTCTGTAATCCTAGAAAAAACTATGATCACACACTGATTGATGGTACTCTACCTTCTTAGAGCTTTGGTACTTGGAAATATAAATTATTCTAAATGGGGTAGAACCCATGGGTCCATTTTGTGGGAAAAAGCTGGAATAGACAGAAGCATATAACTATGGTCCTTTAAGCATAAAACACTCAGTTTAAAATTCATGATGATTAAACTCTAGCTGGCAATCATCTTTATATTAACTTATACTATCACTATTATTGTTTGATCATAAAAGTTTTTATAGGCAAATGAGGATTAACTAAGGTTACATGGGACCTGTTTAACTATATATTAGAACATATTTTACAAGGAATTAATATTAGAAGATATACTTACTAACATATAAATAACATAGTTGAATATCAACAAACCTATTCCTTAAAAGAATAACATCTTCATTAAAGAATACTCAGGCTGAAGGAAGTAAACAATAATTTATTAAAAACCCTTCTATATCTACCTTTATTACTGTTCTTCTCTCTAACTAGTTCAAAGTATAATAAAGCATTATTAATGTTTTAGCCCTAATGTGGTTATTAGACTTGCTTATTGTATGATCATTTACACAATCAGAGCTGATTTCTGTTGGAGCACAACCCTGCGGACATCGCTCACCTCAATGGCACTGGTGTACTGCTCCAGTCTGCTGTCAATCTTGGAGACGACAGCCGTTTGATGAGTTGACTTGACACCACTGTTAAGTAAATAAACACACACATATGTAAAGATATGAGAGAAAAATCTTTCCGCACATATGATTGGCTGGTGATGCTCCAGTGAACAATCAACCATATTTACCTTTTCTGCACAGACTTATTCAAAAATTCTGCTCGCTCTTCTATCTAGGAACCAAAAAACAACAACAGTTAATATTTTCAGCTCATAAATGGTGTCCCTGACCCTGGTGAAGGAAAGCACCAAAGACTGTCAAGGAGTTCTAATTAGGGTTCTGTGCATAGCAGCTCTGCCGGAGAGGAACATGCATATCAGGTGTTTGATAGTGAGGATTGAGAGATGAAGGTAAGATTGGCAGAGGATGGAGAAAGTGTGTAGAGAAATATGAAGTTCTGGAGGCCAATTGAAGACTAGACAGAAATAAAGTAAAAATGCCTTTGAAATAATTTAAATCAATGGCAAAATAACTGCATTTCAAGACCATAGCAATAATTTATTTTTTTGCCTCCTGGCATAATTTAAATTTTTTTTCTACTTATTTCTTTATTAAGGTACAATTGACATGTAACATTATTTTAGCTTCAGGTGTACAACACAATGATTCAATATTTGAATATACTGCAAGATGATCATTACAATAAGTCTAGCTAATATCCATCACCTGACAACATTGTTTTTTTCTTTTTGTGATGAGAACTTTTAAGATCTACTTTCTTAGCAGCAATTTAAAAAATAATACATGCTGGTACCCTTTAGGACATGTTTTTATGAGTATAGATGTACCAGGGTCTTTGATTAAGAAAAATTTCCACAATGTTTTGATCATATATTTGGTAAGTAATAGGGTCAAATAAGGAAGATAACCAGGGGGTGGGAACTATTCACTCAGGGCTTAGCCTGGTTTCCTGATTTGATAGCTGTCAAGCCTATTGCTGAACTTAATTTGCCCTGAAAGTAGAAGATGGGGTGGGGGGGGAGTGAGACTGGGGCACAGCTCATCAGTGATGACTGAGACCTCCCACAAAGCCCCCATTGGCCCAAATGGGAAACAAAAAAATAAACCCAGAGAAACTGTGATAGATATACACTAGATGGGCAGCTCATTAGTCTTTAGTATGTGTGTGTGTGTGTGTGTGTGTGTGTGTGTATATATATATATATATATATATATACACACACTGTATATATATATATATATATATATATATATATATATATATATTTATTTTTATTTTTTTATTTTATTTTTTTGCTAAAACTAAAGCTACTAAATTAAACATTATATTTTACTGAAACGGCATCACTTAAATCCAAATGTTCTTTATAGTCAGCAAATATTGTTGACTCCTTATGATACCCAACACCAGGCTGGAAATAATCTCTGTCACACATCACCTGTCAGTATTAGCAAACAGTTATGACCAAGAAAGTGCTATAGGTCTTATTGAGGGGGAATCCAAGCGAAGCCACCAGGGAATGTTATTATTTAATAGGACTGCAACAGAAGTGAGACCCTCAGAGCCGACAGCATGAGGAGCCAGCATCTAATACACATTTCCCCACTTTATTTCTCTCCTTTGCATATGTTGAAAACAAAGGAAAGTTGTGAAATGGCTGAACAAAGGAGCAAAAAGATAAAGGGAGTCAAGGCTTTGGATAATCAAGAACTTAAAGGCTAAAATCAAGTTTCTAAGATATAGTAGCAGTATTATAAGGAGGATTTCTGGGGGGGAAATACCTTGAGAGATGAACCTTTGGGAGTGAAACATTTGAATGGTTTCTTGTCTTCTGCTAAGCCATCTTCTGGCATCTTCTGCCGTTTCTCAGCAGCTTCTGCCCTTCGCCTTTCAATCTCCTCCTTTAGCCTTCTCTTCTCTTCCTTCAGAGGGAAGGAACAAGTTACAAGGACATCAGCATCAGGTTCAAGGCCAGGGGAATGGGTGCTGTAGAAGAAAGGGCACAGGTCCCAGAGAGAAAAGACCCAGGTTCTCTAGAGTGAATGCACTGGGTCCTCAAGGATGGTCACTAGAGGTTAAGCCTTGTTCTGCTACTTCCCAACTGAGACCTTGACCACATTGCTTAACTGCTCTGTGCCTCAGTCTTTTCATCTGTAAAATGGGGATGATAACAATGGAACCCACTGAACAGGGCTTTAAGGAGCCCATGTAAAATGCTTAGACTAGTGCTCAGTATGGTGATCATCATCATTATCATCATCATCCTATCAAGTCATTTAGCATTGACTTTCATTTCTGAATTATGTGAAATTCATATAGATATCTTCTTAGTTCCTAGAAGAGTGTGAAGACAGTGAGACAGACAACTTACGTGCAAAGTTATATAAATCTATGGTACCGCATTTGTCAAACTGTACAAGAGATGATTTTATGGTTGTGCCCACCTCAACAGAGTAGGTTATTTTAGATGGTTTGACAAACCTGAAATGAGGCAGGCAGTTGCACCATAACAGTGAAATCACAGATATCCACAACTTGTCTCATTACCCCTCTGTGCCTTCATTCCTGGCCTAAAATGCTGTCCCCTACTTCTCTCTCAGGCAACAACTCCAGGTCTCTGATTTAGTCGCACATCCTCTGTGAATGATTTTGAGAGATGTATGTTGTGTTTTGTAAATTTTGAATTGTGAGATCTGTATCACTGGATATTCTCAAGAAGAGAATTTATGTCCACCTGTCAGAGGATGTTGCAGAAGGATCCAGTGTGCTATAAACGATGACTGTGTCTCCCCAAAATTCATAGGTTGAAATCCTAACCCCCAGTGTGACAACATTGACAGTGATTAGGTCTTGAGGGTGAAGCGCTCCTGAGTGGGATTAGTGCCTTAAAAAAAGACCCCAGGAGCTCCCTGGCTCCTTCCATCATGTAAGGACACAGGGAGAAAACGGCCGCCTATGACCCAGAAGCTCCCCCCTCACCAGGCACAGAGTCTGCAGGCCTTGTTCTTGGACTTCTCAGCCTCCAGAACTGTGAGAAAGAATTCCTGTTGCTTTCAAGCCTCGCAGTCTACGTTTTATTGGCAGGAGGTGAGATAAAACAATTTCCAATTCAATCCAACCCTAAGAATTCATTCTGCCTTCTTTGGTGATCTCTGCTAACTAATAACAGTAACAATGATTATAACTGCCACTACCTCAGTGCCAATGATGTACCAGACACTGTGAATACAATGGTCTATTTGATCATCACCACAACCCTGGAAATAGGTGTTTCACGGATAAGGAAGGGAAGTCCCAGAGTCTTCCAGTAACTTTTCCAAGGTCCCAGCTTGCAAGCGGCTGTCAGGATACAAGCCCAGGTATGTTTGGTTCTAAAACGCCCTTTTATCCCCATTACTTCCTAACCAGAGATCATTGGCGCGTAGACAGCTGGACTTGGAGGAGATTTTGGGGCCATTTATCCAAACGTTCCACACAGTTTAGGGAATATTTACATAGGATCCAAGTCAGCAAGAAATGAAGTCTTTCTGCATCTTTTGAATGATGGGAGATCAGTGTTCCCCAAGATTGGTGAGAAGACTTCCGGGCTAATTGGGAGAAGCTGGGTCCCAGTACTGATCCCACCACGGGTTAGTCAAGGAACTTCACACAAGTCATTCAAACCATTTCCACTGTAACTAGCTAATCATTAATATTAATAATAGGAAAGGAGCAGAGGGAAGCCGGGCATTATAAGCGTGGCTATCATCCTCCACAGTGAACCTCTGGTCTATTTCCTGCAGATCACTGGGGGACAAAAGAGAAGGAGGAAGCATGTGCAGTCAAGTCAGGGTCCTCAGGGAAGGTGCTTGTCTGGATTCTAACCTGGAGACAAAGAGAATTGGCTGAAGGGCTGGAGCCACTTTAAGTGTGAAATCTTAGAAGGTTAAAACCCTGAGACAAAGGGATTCTCTTTTTGTTTGTTTGTTTGTTTCTCTTGCTTTGCTCCTTCTTGCTTGCACTCACCCACGTTCCCTCCGTATTCATGTGACCCTAGAAGCCACATGCATGGCCCACAAACATGCGAACCCCACATGCAATGGACTGCAGCTGGGAACACAAGCTGAGCTAGCCTCATGCTGGTCTGGACTGTGCAAATAGGGGACAGAAACTCTGGACACCGGCTTCAGTCCTCGCTCTGCTGAGGATGAGACGGGACCTTTTCCTTGGCGGATGGAGGGAGATGGGCCTTGGAAACTCAGGGGTTTAATTCCACAGAAAGAAAACTTTCCACGATACCTCATCCTCCCAGGGGGACTCCGGGAAATTCTTATTCTAGCAGCACCCAAGAGCACCCCACTGATAACCAAACTATTGGATTTCCATTTCTTTGCTCATAAAATGAGAATAATAATGTAGCTCAGGATGAAAGAAAAGTATGCATCCTGTAAAAAGTAGCAGTGTAAGTTGTGGGTGGTTAAGCACTTTTTCAGTTTTCAAAATAGCCTTTTGGTAACTTTATTTGTTGCTTTCAGTCCTGTCTTAAAATATGGAACAAATTCATGGGCTCTAATTACTGGGTTCCTGCTACAAGCCTGGCACTGGGTTTGTATCCTGGGTACACAGCGATGAACAGAGCACAAAGTGTCCCCTGACTGTGAAAATTTAGACTCTTCCACTAAAAAAGCCCAAAACCTATTTTTAAAAACCATCTCTATAAAAATTCTTCAAATGTCCAAAACAACAACAACAACAACAAAAAACAAAAACCAGCCGAAACCGGTTTGGCTCAGTGGATAGAGCATCAGCCTGCGGACTGAAGGGTCCCGGGTTCGATTCCAGTCAAGGGCACATACTCTGGTTGCGGGCACATCCCCAGTGGGGGGTGTGAAGGAGGCAGCTGATGGATGTTTCTCTCTCATCGATGTTTCTAGCTCTCTCTCTCTCCATTCCTCTCTGTAAAAAAAATCAATAAAATATATTCAAACAAACAAACAAACAAACAAAACACACCAAAAAACTCATCATGTCACTCTTGATTCTCATGCTCTGCTCTCTACTGTTCTTTATGGAGGGGCCATATAAGGTAATGGATTAAGACAAGTGGGGCCTTGGGGAAATTACAAAACAAACAAAAAACTCTTCTCCGTGCCTCAATTTCCTCATCTGTAAAACAGGGACAAGACTACCTGTTCTTATGAGAACTGGATAAATGAAGATGTATAAAGGTTTTGGGAACCGTGCTTAGCACACAGTTAAGTTTATTTATCCTTAAAATGTGTTCATGGAGTCCATGCTCAAAAGAGCAGCAGCATTTCACCTGGGAAGACATTATCCTCTGGGCCAGAAGGGTCACCAGAGATAGGTGCTCAGGGGTTTGAGTAAGTAGGGGTGCCGATGGCTGGGCGGGCGGCGCCCTCCTTACCTCCTCTCTGACTTTCCGCTCTGCTTCCTCCTGCTTCTTCCTCTGCTCTTCCTCCTCCAGGACCTTCCTTCGCTCCTCCCTCTTCTTCTTCAGCTCCTCCAGCTCCTGGGCTGCCTCTTGTTGCTTCTGTTTGAGCTTCTCGAACTCTTCGCTCTCAGTCTCCCCACGACGGCGGCGCAGCTCCTCCAGGCGCTTGCCAGCTTCCACTTGGGGAGCCCCTTCCGCCTCCTTGGCCTCACTGGCCCTCCCTCCAGAGCGGCTGGTTGGGGGAGAGAAAGGGATGAGAAGAGTTTGACACATGTCCACCTGCAGCCTTTCCCAGAGGGAGGGGATGTGGTCTGCAGGCTCGGCCTCCCACACAGAAATCTCCACTGCCTGTCACTGGGCAATAGATCCTCACACCAACCCAACAGGCAGGCTGGGGCCCAGCTGGCATCTCCAGGTCTGAATCTGAGTCCCCGCTCTGCCACTTACCCTGGGTTTCCTCAACTATACCACAGGGGCAAATGGGATTGTAAAATGGTACGACCACTATGAAAAACAGTATGGAGGTTCCTCAGAACATTAAAAACAGAACTCCCATATGACCCCACAATTAAGGAAAACACTGATTCCAAACGATATCTACACCCCCACGTTCACTGCAGCATTAGTTACAACAGCCGAGATATGGAAACAACTGAAGTGTTCACTGATGGGTGGATAGGTAAAAAAAAAAAAAGGTACATATTTACAGTGGAATATTATTTAGCCATAAAAAATAAAAAATCTTATTTAAATATTAATTAACAAGTAGTGAGGGCATTCTTAACTAGATCTGAACATAGCCTGTGTCCAACATAGTTATCTGAGTAACAGATGAATTATACCGTCTAGCACCATTTATTCCATGTGGAGAATGGCACAGTGTTTCTATGGTAGCTATGGAGCAAGAGGAAGAATAAAACAGAAAATAGTTAAGATCACACAATTACTAATATTGATCTTATGTGCAGATCAGATGCTTTTAAAACACTGAGGTTCTGGATATACTATTCCCTTTAGAACAATGCTTTTCAAGCTGTAGGTCAGAAAATCAATTCAGTGGACAGTAACCAGCATTAAAAAAAAAAATGAACTAGGAAACATCAGAGTGCATTGCAGAGAGCAAAGCAAATGACCATTTCTTGACTTGCTGGTTTCAGTTACGCAGGTAGGCATCACTGGGTCATGATGTAAAAATTATTTTTTATTAAGAGTTGAGGTTAAAAATTTTATTCTAGCCCTGGCTGGTGTGGCTCAGTTGGTTGGGCAGCGTCCCATATATAGGAAAGGTCTATGGTTTGCTACCTTGTAAGGGCACATGCCGATTGCTGACTTAATCCCTAGTGGGGGATGTGCAGGAGGCAGCCAATCGATATTTCACTCTTACATTGATGTTTCTCCTTTTCTCTCACTCTCCCTTCTTCTCTCTCTAAAATTCAATTTAAAAAAATCTTATTCTAGGCACTTGAAGGTTAAAAGTGAATTCTTTTATTTTAAACTCAATCCAAGTTAGGCGGCCCCTTAAAACTTGATGTTCCTCTTTCAGGTCTTCTAAGTTTACAGACTTGTGACATGAGAGAGGAAATCTGTTCTCTCAGTTAACTTAAGGTCTTTCCAGCTTCAGAGACATTTACTCTCTCGTGTTCATCATGTTAGTACCGTAGTGTTCAGTTGGATGAGCAAAACACATGCCTCGCAGAAACTTCTCTAGATTCCACTAGATGTCGCTCAGTCTTCATTTTGGACATTCAGAATGCCACTATTGGGACTGGTTGAATACACCATAATCCTTCCATCCGGTGGAACAGGCTAACATCATTCGCTGTAGACTTATGTTCATTGGTACAGAAGGCTAGCTAAGGTGCATTGCTATGCATAATGCAAGAATCAATTTAAAATGTAGATTTATAATTAAACCCACACATATACATGCTGCCTATATATGAGTTTCTATTATGAATATATATACATAAAAATCTGTAAAAATATTACTATTGTTATCTTTGGGTGGTGGGTACTTATTTTTATACTTCTATTTTCTGAATGTTTTATAATAGATACAATTTTTCTGACAATCAGAAAAAAACTTTAATTCCTCCCCCTCCCAAAAAAAAGAAAGCAAAACAAACTCTTGTTCTGTAGTATCTATAAAACGTTGGTATAATCTAGCTCCATAAACTTGTTCCTTGAATTGAGATTTTTATGTCATCTCTTAGAGAACATGATCTAGTTATAAGAAAACAGAAATGAAAGGAGACAGTAATTAAATCAAACACAAGGAATTATGCTCAAAACAGGAACAAGAGTTTTGTCCATATAACCTCTGCTCAGATGTGCTGCCATGCCCTCAGCATTAGGGTGTCATGAAAAATACGAAAATTTCTTCTAGAATGCTCTCTCTGCTATCCTTGGCTTCTTTGGATTTTAAGTGAAGAATATCAGACCTTTCACCATTAAGAACACAGCTGTGTCCTGGCAGGTGTGGCTCAGTGGTAGAGCATCGGACTGCACACTGAAAGGATTGTGAGTTTGATTCCCAATCAAGGGCATGTACCCGGGTACTCCCCAGCCTGTTGGAGGCAACCACATAGATATTTTTCTCTCTCTCTTTCCCCCTCCCTCCCTTCCACTCTCTCTAAAACTCAATGGAAAAAATATCCTCGGGTGAGGATTAACAAAAAGAAATAAATACATTTTCAAAAAACACACAGCTTGTTTTCAGTGAGGCTGGTAGACACGATGCCAATCTAAATAGAGGCTCTTCCTCCCCAGCTCCTCACTTCATGGAGCAAAACCAGGCATTTCCGCTTCTATCATCACCGATTTCTACTGAAACTAAAACTAACACACGTTGGCAGCTAAACAAAAACTTTCTGTTTCTGTCATTTTTGTCTGCCCAAAGATGAAAATTGAAGAGTCACATGTAAGGGTCCTAAGTTAGAACGCAACCCGTTGGCATCCCTGCTGACTTTTCTCTCGGTGGAATTACCCAACTCCCTGCCACACAACGAAGATGTTAATTATTAATTTGAATTTGGCTAAAGCTGGTTGGCAAGCTTGCTAATTGTTAACCAAACTTTCTACTGACAGATTTTTTTTTACAGCATTATTTCTCTTAGCAACAACAACAACAACAAAAATGTATTCATACCCATAAAACAGATTTTAAACTACCCAACAGCAAAACACGAACACTGTTAGGATTGCCAACAGTGATTGCATTGAACACGTCTCATGAACTTGATGCTGTTCCAGGGCTTTTAAAACATTAACCTGCTGACACTTCAGCAAGCTTTTGGCTCGGCTTACCTGCCTGAATCCACTCGCTTTCTAGATTTTCCATTAAGTTCCTGACAAACTCTTAATTTTTTTATATCTATTTTCCTGTCAATTTAGGCTTTCTATTGGTGAAATGTGATGCGGTTTCTGCTCAAAGTTTTATTAGAAAAACTGTGTGGGGGCGATTATGTTGACCCATGTTAGTCTCTTAGAGGGGCTGGACACATCCGTCCCCAGTAGCTGTGCTTGCTTCTGTATGTGACAAAGGCTTCACTGTGAGGCCCATGTCTGACTTCTGTACAACTTGGGGACTGCTCGGGGACTTCCTTATTTGAAGTGTTCAGAAATACAGGGTCTACAGGCAAGGCTGCGTGGGAATCCACGTTATAGGGACCCAGACTCTTCCAGAACATGGGGCACAATAGGAATGGGGGCACAGAGGTAGGAATGGTGCCCAGAGAATTGTCCATGGAAGGCATCTGCAACTTGAGTCCTTCTACAAAATTGGCTTGGAACTCTTAAGTGCTCATTTACTTGTCCTAAAACCAATTGCCCAGATTTTCAACATAATGGGATGAGGAGGAGACGCTGAAGTTATACAAGAGGGGTTACCAAGGGGTACAAAATGGAATATTAGTTGGATGTCTTCTTCCTCCCTCTCAGAGGTTCCCATTACAAACTAACACCAAGTGCTTTCCAAGTCCTGTGGCAAAGAGAAATGATTAACTCAGTTTTACCCGGTGGTCGGCAAACTCATTAGTCAACAGAGCCAAATATCAACAGTACAACGATTGAAATTTCTTTTGAGAGCGAAAGTTTTTAAACTTAAACTTCTTCTAACGCCATTTCTTCAAAATAGACTCACCCAGGCCGTGGTATTTTGTGGAAGAGCCACACTCAAGGGGCCAAAGAGCTGCATGTGGCTCACAAGCTGCAGTTTGCTGACCATGGGTTTAACCAAATGTTTCCCAAATATTTGGCCACAGAATAATCCTAGTTTTATGCATTATTTATTGACAACCTTTAGAAAATACAATTTTGAAAGTAGTATTGAGAAGGTCTCATCAAGTTGCCTGGACCACATAGAGAATGAATCAAAGATATTAACTCCAGGCATACTGCTTTCTACTACACTGATCTTACATGAGCATATTAGGCCAGGGACAAAAGCTTGGATGCCAGGCCTAACCTACATTGCTAAATTATGGGAAAGGTGGATTACACTCTGCCTGAGCAATGACCGTGGTCTTCTGTTAGTGACTGATAGCCCGGCCTGCTGACTGAGTATCCCTGAGACAATGGCCAATGACCTCACAACAAAAGCATGTTGCCTGTTCAGCGCTCCCTGTCCCGAGGCACAGGAGAGGAGGCTGATTTGTTTTTCACATGTGAACACAGTCACTGTTAGTCGCTACGTCTCACCTGAAGGTATTCTCGGTGTGCTTAAGCTTGTGGGTCATGAATTCTCCATTCTGCGACTTCACTTCTGTAAATCCCTTCTTTCCATCCAAGAAGCTCTTCACGTCTTCTCTGGGCTCTTTGTCTTTTTTAATCTTCTCGTCTTTGATCTAACCAACAGTACACATCAGGAAGGAACATAACAATAAAAATCGTATTAGGTTTTGGTTGGTATCACCAAATAAGACCCCAAATTGTTAGGAAGCCAGAAACCTCAAAAGTAAAACAAACCACCGTAGAACAATGTGGCAGAGATGGGGTCAGAGGAAATTCTTGGAGCATGAGCTATGGTTCTCCAGCCTCTGAGCAAAGACCTTGACCACAGTTTTAGGAGGTCAAGATCATTCCTGATTTCACTGGGGACTTTATTTTAGAATTCACTGGAGGTGTTACCATTAAAAACTATTACATTCTTGAAACTCCATCCACATGAGTGGTTGCTTGCAGTTCCCAGTAGAAAGAATGACTATTGGGGTGGCCTTGATGGAAAATGTCAGGTTGCTTGGACAGGTTTCTTCTTGGATAAAGAACACAAGTGAGTTGAGAAGGAAAGAGAAAATCTGATAGGTTAACCAGATCTGCCAGGCCAGTTTTACTAATATCAGAGGAGGAGACCCTAGTATCCTAATAAAAAAATTAACTAGGGCCTTGGCTGGGTTGGCTCAGTGGACTGCGGACTGAAGGGTCCTGGTTCAATTCCGGTTAAGGGCACTTGACTGGGTTGCGGGCTTGTACCCAAATAGGGGATGTGCAGGAGGCAGTTGATCAATGATTCTCTCTCTTCCTCTCTAAAATCAATAAAAATATATTTTTAAAAAAGTAACTAGGATCTTCAGGACAGAGGACACAATAACCTGCCTTCAAGGGGATGACTCAGAGGTCTATGGGACCATGTTAGTAGTCAGTCATCCAAAACACTATGTTAGAATGTAATGGGAACAATTCCAGGGTTTACCTTGACTTCCAAAGTAGGCAATAATCTAGTCTCCAGAAGTGGTTTTGTGATTCTTGTGAGTCACAAAATGTCATACGTGAAGGACAGGTATTAACTGTAACATTTTATGGGTTTCACGTTACAAGTTCCTCATGGTAAATAAGAGATTATTTCAAAGTAGACTGAATTTACATAGATTTTTTTTGGGGAGGGGTAAAGGAGTACAAATTATTTACCTACATTATCTCACCCATCCTTAAAAGATGAGTGTAAAAACAGGGGAGGTTCCATGCTGCACTTTCCGAGACAAACAGAGAGAGCACTAATGTTTTAAAGGAGCCTACGGAGCAAGGGTGGGGAGAAGTGCTTAAGATTTGAGATGCTGCCTAGATGGTCTCCCCTTCCCTGAGATCTCACTTCTGTCCAGTTAGTCTTCAGATACTCTCTGAACACTTACTATTAAAGTGCATGTTTTACTAAGGAAAACACTCTTTAAAAATAATCTTTACTGATGAGCCTTCCATAGTCCTTCCCCTGATCTCCTTCTTTGGGTATTAGTTGGTTAAATTACTATGGATGGGCTATTCTGTAGCAATTTAATGGGCAACTATCATGTGGTCCCACTTGGTTAAAACTTTAACCTTGCTCCCAGGGGCATTCAGCTGGGAGATGAAGGGAGCTATTGTCTTGCCATTCTCTCTGAGAGCTTTGTCTGGAAGTCAGGAAACCTGAATGTTGGCTCCAGTGCTACTGACAAACTAGCCGTGTTCCTTTGATTAAGTAGCCTGACTTCTCAGAGATGTTGACTCCACACACATAAAAAGTGGAGGTTAGGCTAGATGATCCCTTCCTAATCCTTCATCCTTTCATTTCCCTCTTATCCTCTCATTTGTCCTGAGGGGTTACAGAGAAGAGAAGGAAGCTCCTGACTTGTTCTACCACTTGGTGTCTGTCCTTGCCCAATCCTAAATCAGACCTCATGGGCAGGCAGGAGCCGGCAGGGTCTCTTCTTGTGTTAGTTTACCATGGTTGGATACAGCTCCGGAAACCATGGACTGAATTACATATCTTGGCTAAGAAGTATCTGGGGATATAAATTTGGGGACAAAGGGGTCCCATTTTAGAAAACGCATGAAACAAATTCAGAGTCAAACCTCATTGTTTGTGAAATAGATGAAATACCCTTGAACTAACGTTTCCCATTTTGGGGTCAGAGACATTTCCATTCTTCCTAACTACATGATCTAATTTACTGACCAAAAATGTATGTAAAATAGATTTGTAAAACAATACATGTTTCCTTCAAGCTCTGCCTTTATTGGCAAAGGCTACGGTAGATGTGATGTGTATATTCTCTTTGGAAGACTTCCTTGGGAAAATTCCCAGTGAAAGCATGATAATTTGAGTTTGCAAATTATTTTATCTTTTTGGGAATTGAATAAGTAAAGCAATTCCACAACGCCTTTACATTTTACTTTAAGGAGCACAGCGGATCGATAGCAGATTTAACCCAAGCCCATGGGATTCTGAGTCATTTGGGAAAAGCATCAGATCTAGGTCATAATGTTTCAGGAAATCTGTGCTGATCGATTAATGGGTAGCCAAGTGTCCTGAAAATGTTAATGTGCTTCATGGACAGATAACATTAGCAAATGGAAGGCTGGCCAAATATGATCATTTGGCTAAAACTGGATATTTGGGACATCCAATGGGATAATATATGGGGTGTGTGGGGCGGGAATTCCAGCGAAATGAACACATGCCAGAGACCTTCAAAATGTCAAGTGCGCAGGCCATAAAGGACTGCTATGTCAGTCTTTGTAGTTTATTGTTTTGCATTATTTGACTCCAGAAGAGTGATAAGAACAGGTACAATTTACTGTTCTTTTCAGATTAGGTTTTAATGCATGTTGGTTAGACTCAGAAGCCTCGGTTCCTTCTTTGGGTCCCAGTATATAACTCAAGACTGTCTTCGCTACTGAAAGTCTGGACTACGGACAACACAGACCTCACTAGAAGCTCAGACTCTACCCAGAGCCCACCAGTCAGGTTCTGTGTTCCCTAAGGGCTCAAGTAATGCGCATGCACACCATCCTTGGGGAGATTTGGACTAGATGCATGAATGTCAGTTTTCACACAGTAGGAACAACTTCCCCAGAAGCTGTTTTTCTGTTAGAGGTGGGAGAAGGCTGTATGTGTGTGGGGGGAGTGGTCGGAGGTAAAGAGAAAGTGGGAGAGCTTTAGGGTGAAGAACTAAAAAAGAGACGTTTTATGGTTGGAGAGGAGAGCAAAAAGCTACATTAAATTTCAAGGTTGGTGATCATCTGCCATCCATTGCCACAAGCAATCCAATGTTTTCTACACTTAAAAAAAAAAAGAGTTCAACCACAGGGGAGAAAGATGCTCTGTAAGGTGTTGGAGCAACTTCTGGACATGCTTTCTCTAAGAAGGCTTACATGATGTTTGTGTTTATTGTGGTTGACAGATCCTGCATTGCTCCTTGAAAGAAAAGCCTTCTTAATTTTTTTTTTTTAACAAAAAGGAAATTAAAAAAAAGGCGAAGGGTCTTTAAAATGGCTAAATCCCATAAAACATGATATAAAGTCATTTATATACAGCAACCACACAGCTAGCTGGAGAGGGGAAAACCTAGTCATTCAACTAGTAACTTATGTAGGCAATGTTAAAATAGGAATGGCAGATTAACAAAAAAAATTTTTTAATCCTGTGCAGAGGCCTTATATATAAAAAAAAAGGGGGGGGGGGTTTGGGTCAGTAGAATGTGCTGTAGAGCACACTGGGAAAGAGGCAGCTCTGAAGTCATTGGACCCGGGACAGTGTTGCATGGGGGTCTTGTCTGGAAGAGGCAAAGGGAGGATCCGGATGGCTGTGCGAGCGCTTCCCAGCTCCCACAGGGCACACAGACCAGGATGCTCAGATCCCTGAACGTTCACCAGAGACTAATGAAATGAGTTAAATTTAGAGCACAGAGTCCAAACGTGCTTTTCCAGCTCCCCATCCCCAACATAAACTTAATCACTGAGCTATGGTTTCATGCCCTCTCCTTCCTGTAGAGATTTCCTCACCAAACACTAGCTCTAGAGAAGAACCCTGTGGGATATTTCTGCTGGAGTTTAGTTCCGAGGTAACTTTCATTTTTTTTTTTTTTTTTTTTGTAGCGTTCTTCTGTTACAAAATGAGAACACTGTTTTCCCACATGTTCAACCATTTCCTTAGCTGCCTCATTGGAGCCAAATTCAGTTTTCCAGTTATCAGCATTGACGCTTTCTCCTTCCTCTACATGGACAGAGTTCACACTAGGCGTTCAATCCCAAACCACCATGCATTTTTTTAGAAGCAAGGAGGAACAGGCATCTTAAACAAAATAAATATCACAGGAACTAAGGATTTTTACATGCATTTTAGGAAAAAACGCTTAAAAAACAATCACCCCCTATTAAATCTGGTTATCTTTTCCAATTATGGATTTCTCCCCCTCTGTTTCTTAACATATGCCGCAATGGGTAGAGAAATGTAGCAAGACCCCATTTGAGTTGGCGCCAATGGCTTCAGGTCAGCTCAGCCGGTGTGGCTCAGTGGTTGAGCGATGACCCAGGAGCTAAGAGGTTGCAAGTTCAATTCCCGGTCAGGGCACATGCCCAAGTTTCGGGCTTGATCCCTAGTGGGAGCCATGCAGAAGAGAGCTGATCAATGATGTTCCTCTCTCATTGGTGTTTCTATCTCTCTATCCCTCTCCTTTCCTTCCCCCCCCCCCCCCCCCTCTCTCTCTCTCTCTCTCTCTCTCTCTAACAAAAAACAAAAAAAAATCAATAAAAACATATTTAAAAAAAATAGCTACAAATCAGTTCACGAGCAAAGTGCTTAAACTCTTTCAATTTTGATAATTTAGTTTTACCATGCTCACAACTTTTAGAATTCCTTGAGGCTAGCATAAGCACGGTGGGCAAAACAAAATTGGGCTTTCTGATGTGGCAATTCGATGACATCAGATTATGACCTTCTCTTTGCGGCAGCCACTGGCCCGCTCACTGATTACTTACCTGCAGGCCAATACCCTGGCGCCAGCACCTGTGTGTGCCTCACAAATGCAATGCAGAACATTTTGCCCAAGTTTCCTTTCAAAAACCAAATAACATCTTCAGTGCATCAAATTTTCTACTGAGACGTAGGGGTGTTTCTCCTTTGAGAAGTTAAATCATTCATCAAAGCGAGTTGGAAATATTTCCCCTGATGGGAATGAAAGCAGGATGGCTCAAGGGGGGAAAATAGCACTTAGAAGAATAGAGAGCGGGGAAGATTGAGCAGAGAAGCGTTCTTCAAGCTTTTCACAGCAAGAATGATCATTTATGTCACTATGCAGTGCTTGCTGCCTACAATGCCCTCTGATATCATCTATTTCTTCTTTGAAAATGCCAATTGGCCGAAACTGGTTTGGCTCAGTGGATAGAGCGTCAGCCTGCAGACTGAAAGGTTCCAGGTTTGATTTCGGTCGGGCACATCCCCGGTAAAGGGTGTGCAGGAGGCAGCTGATCGATGTTTCTAACTCTCTATCTCTCTCCCTTCCTCTCTGTAAAAAATCAATTAAAAAAAAATATAGGCCCACCTTTGGGCTCATATATATATATATAAAAGGAATCAAGGGCCTTTAAAAAAAAAAAAAGAAAAAGAAAATGCAGATTGGCACATTTAACTGCTTTTGAAATGCTCTAAGCTGGTTTCGCCATTCGACGAATCGTTAAGTCAGGGCTTGGAAAACATCAGAGGCCATCTGACCTGCCATGCCACGGCACACTCTTTCTGCTGCTTTATCATTAATGAGGTGATTTCCCAATAACATTTACCTCTTCCTTTTTGAAGGCAGGCTTGTCTTCTTGGGACTTTTCTCTCTTAAGTTGCCCTTTAGTCCCCTTTTCTTCTTCCTTTTCATGTTCACGAATAGTAAGATCACGCATGTAAAAGCCGCCCTTTCTAGCTCTAACCCAGTGAGAAGGTGCTCTGGTCACACGGCATGTGGCACAGGCTGACTTCTCTCCGGCTGTGTCAGTGCTCACGTTGCCCCCAGTGGTTACAAACAGCAGCCTGGATCTGTTCCTCCCCCCTCCTTCCAATGTGCCTGCCCTTGTGCTCACGGATATCTAGCGGGCCATGGTGCTCCTTACAAACCTCGTGTGTGGTCTGGTGCATTTTGTTCCTAATCCTCTCAGCAGTGGCTGTGTTCACGAGTCCCTCGTCACAAGCAGAAGTGAGAGACCACCTCAGTGCAATGCATACTTAGTGACAGAGCACTCTCATGGAAGGCGGACATGCGAGCAGGTGGTGGGGAAGCACAGTGCTTTGAATGCAGACTTGCAGTCAGGAAAAAAAAAAAAAATCTCTTGCAGCTCACACACCCCTCCCCTCAATTTCCACCCTTCCTGGGGCTATGCCAGTTTATATATGTCATTCGAATGGCAAAAGAAGCAACACATATGCTTTTAATTACCAGCCAATGATAAATGGATGCCACCCCAGAGGACTGGCTTTCTGCAAGTTTACATGAAGCTCAGGTCTACATGATGCCAACCATGGTTTTGACATTTTTTTTTTTTTTAAAGATCCTCAAAACTGACTTCTTTCCCTCCTTTATTACCAGTTGATTTTGAGGGTTTTACCAGGTATATTTTGCCTTCTTAAGATGCTATTTCTGATCACGATTCCTTTTTTTTTTTGTCAGTTTCCCACCCCAACGATTATAATTTTTTTATTAAATGCCGCACCCACGGGTAGGGTGAGGCCTTAAGATGCCCTTGCCTCATGCAGACCTATGGGTAGAAGCAAAGGTGTGAAAAGGAATGCGTTTAGGTGCTGGTGCAGAACCACAGGTCAACATGGCACTGCCCCAGCTACCACCTTTGGGCTCACTCATTTTCCTGGTGTTTAAAACAAGCAAGCCCAGAGCAACACATTTCTCTCTGGTGGTCTCAGCAAGTGTGGCTGACTGACTGTTCGGCCAGCAATCAACGGCCTCATGCTTGCCGATGTCTACGGCCTAAAGAACCCGAACAGATTGCCAAATGATCAAGCACGTGGCCTCAGCCCCAAATCCGATGTGCATCACATTTCTCACACATCGCAGGCATCAACACGTACACACACGGTGCAAAAACGTGTACCGTACCTGTTTCTTTTGGGCAGCTGTCTGAGGTTTCTCTTCTTGGCCTTTCTTTTCCCTGACCCATTTCCCGTCTAGGTTCTCCTCTACCTGTCCCCCTTGGATCTTTCTCTCTCCTAGCTGCTCTGCACGGTTTTGCTCTTCCAGCTTAGCCTTCTGGGCTTCCTCTGCCTTTGCTCTCTGCCTCGCCTCCTCCTCCTCCGCTGCCCTTCTCGCCTCCTCCTCCGCCCTCTCCCTCTCCTCTGCCTCCCTCCGCGCTCTCTCCCGTGCAGCTGCCTTTTCCTCCTCCTCCCTTCTTGCTTTCTCCTCCTCTGCTAGCTTTCGGGCTTGCTCAGCTTCAACCCTCTCTCTTTCTTCTGCTTCCAGCCTGAGCCTCTCTGCCTGGGCCCTCTCCCTTTCCTCCTCCTCCTCCTCCGCCTTTTCGTTCAGGGCCGTCTCCTCGGCACCGTGCTCCCTCCCATCCTCTATGTCAGGCTCATCCGCATGGACCTGCCCGTTTTTCAAAGGCATTTCTTCTCGAGTTTCCACCGCATTCTCCTCCTCCACCGGCACCTCTACCTGATTCTCTCTGATGCTCCCTCGCTTCGGCTTCTCCTCTTCCTCCTTTCCTTGGTCTTCTTCCTTCTTTTTCTCCTCGGTGGCATCCCTCCAGTCGTTCTTCTGGTAGGAGGACTTGGTGACGACCTCTGTTTCCTCCACCTCATATCTTTCTCGGCGACTTTCACTCTTTCCTTCCTTCTCCTCCTCGGTGGCATCGTTCCCTGCTCTCCCATCGGCGGTGATGGTGGGGTCCAGCTCCCTCTGCCGCTCCAGCGCCTCCTGCAGGCGCTTCTGGCGCCGCTCCTCCCGCCGGGCCAGGCGCTCCAGCAGCGCGGCCTCCTCTTCGCTCTCCACCACCTGCGTGTTCGCGGTGGCGGCCTTGACCTCCTCGTCCGGCACACTGCACGGCAGAGACAACACCAGAGACAGAAAGCATGATGCTGGTTAATCGGTCCGCGGGTTCCCAGACCCACCCGCGGGCCCTGTGGCAGAGGCTGGCAGTGCCATGCCCATGTACCTCCACCTCGCTTCCCCCTCCCCTAAAAGACAGCATGTGCAAGGCTGTGCCCCTGGTCTTTCTCTGGCCACTGCCGTCCTCTCTATATGCCAGACGTGCTTTGGATGTTAAGGTTTCCTGGGAGCAGACGTCAAACAAACAATGATGACCATTGGTGTATCCACACCTCGGCTCCCCACACCGTTTGGGTTGGGGAATTCTGAGTGCCTGTGCTGCCTGGATCTTAGAGTTGCCCCCAGGGAGATCAACAGTGGCCACTTGCTTGGCAATGAAACCTTTATTGGGTTGCCTTTCCTCCCCTGTGTCACTTGCTCACACCACCGCTCCCAGTCTTTTCTGGGATCATTTTACAAATAAACGACGTGTGGTCAAATCTTTGCCTCAGGATCTGCATCTTGGGGAACTCAGACGAAGACAGGGACCAAACTGAAATAATGAGCTCTTCTAGCATCGTATAGTATTGTCACATGTCACCAAGTCATCTAGAATTCTTGAACTGGATTTGTGGGACACAAAGTACCCGGAGAGGGAGGGAGTGTATGTGACGGCGTGGACATGTTAGACTCACACCGATGACCCCCCGTGGTAGAGACATGTAACTGTCCACCACAATTCACGCTCTTCCTTCCACAGTCACTGGAAGAGGTTGTCGGTCAAACACTATATTTTCTACTCTCCCCTCTCCCTTGCACCTAGGTTGAGCATGTGACCAAAAATGTTCAGCTGAATGTGAGCAAAAGTGATGTGTCAAGATCAAGATAATTAGGAAGCAAGGATGCATTCTCTACCCTCTCTCTCTCTCTCTCTGCTGGCTAGATCAGAGGACTCCAAAGCCCCAGGAATTGATAGAGTCACAAGAGGAAAGAAAGTAGGTGACCAGTTTTACCTATTCGTCAGAAGCAACCACACTGGACTGGTATATGTTATTGAATTAAACGACTACTAAAATTTGTGGGCTCATTGATTTAGCAGCTGACATTACCCTAACTTATATATACACCATCTATGTTCTTTGTTAAGATTTTCATGAACCTGGGGTCTTTTGCCCTTCTTTCCACAGTAGACTAAGAACAGTTAAATATGATGTTTATTTAAAAAGAAAAGAAGATCTCTAAAAATCACATTGTACCATGTCCATCAACTCACTCCCTATTGCAGGATGCTGGACACTGCCTGAGCCAGGGGTGTTGGTCTCTCTGGCAGGAAACAACCAGCCATGTGATACCAGGAACTGTGGCCAGAGTTGGAAGAATATGTCTTGCAATGTTTAGAAACTCCATCAAATGTCATGGTTCATACTGAACTTGGCCCCTTTGAAGTTCAAGTTCACTTAATTTTGGAAAAACATGTTTCACATTTAACAACAAGAAACGGCAGAGTAAAGGCTAGATTTTAAACTTTCTTAGCCTTAGCTGTTGCTACAGGACACTGTCTCCATGAATTAGACATATAAGGATTACATGTACCTGGAAATACAAATAGTTTAGAATTTAAGGGGGAAAGTCTATATACATAGGTGTTTGGATATGCCTATGTATTTAAATAACATTTAAAATGTAGCCCGAATTGTAAAGTGCTAGCCAGATGAAAGTACTCTGGAGTTAAGAAACCAACAGATTCTGCTGAACCTTTCTTCGCCTGTTTATAAATCATGACGACAATCACCGGTAGTTAAGTACCAGGTAGGGTTGTTTATATTTTAGAGGTAAATCACATAGGCTTCACTGAAAAAAGAAAAGAATTTTGTGTTCAACCAATAGTATGAAATAACTGTTACTAGTAAAATGTGAGAAAGGAGAGAAACTCAAGTAGAAGCAAGATTTGTAAAGCAAGAAAAACGATAGACCATGAGTAACTCTTTCAGTCATTGTTGGTCATTCACTGATAACCAGATTCAGGCAAGAGCTATTTGTAAGCTCTTTCCTCCCCTTCCATCCTCAGCTCAAAAATAGAAAAGGCAGCCCTCCTCAATAAGACTCTGACACCATCTTCCTAATAATAACTAAAGCTAGGCACTTACTCTGTGCAAAACACTGTGCATTTCACATGTTCTAGTATCTCATTTTAATTCAGCAATGCCCCTAAGAGAAAGGGATAATGCTCATTTCTATTCTTTTAACTGAAGAAATACAGTTAGTGAAAAGCCAAGTTCAGGTTCAAAGCCAAGTAGTGAACCTCAGAGAATATCCCTACAACCCCTTTGCTATATTCTCTCCTATTTAAGATCTACTTCTCAAGAGACATGGTCTCTATTTCTCTACCTAATTGTTAACTTTTTCTTACTGAATTCATTCTACCTACCAGCATTTTAAGACTGCCTTCAGAAACCTCCTGTGTGCCCACTCAAATTTGGGCTAAAGAGTCCAGAACTCTTTCCATTCAGAATTTTCTAGATAAGACTGAATTAAAGAAACCAACAACAGTGCCCTTAAACACGCACACAAAAAACCAAACTAAAACGAAAGCCATGTACAATATCTTATATGGTGGTTTCATGATATTTAATCACTCCATAATTATACATTAATATTAACCTTTTTCCTCCCTTTTCCCATCCTCCCTTTTCCACACCTCATGGCAAATATATGGCATATACTAATCATTAGCAAAATGGACTGTGTGACCTTGTATGTGTGAACTTGTAAAGGTCCCTTTGGAAGAAGTTGAATCTCTTAAGTGCTCTCAACTCTCTTCATTTCTGCCAGGGCATGTATAGGAAAAATGTAGAAGTAAACTCCTAAGTTTGTTGGAATAATTATATTAAATTAAACAGGATTTTGCACTTTGCTGAATACTGTAGTGATCACAGAATATTGATTCAGGCTGTAGATAAGAAAAAAACAAAAAACTGAGACATTCATGCCTATTTTAAAAATTGAAGTATTATCTGCTATTGATAGGTGCAGAAAACTACCGAGTTAATAAATCTTTAGTTCAAAACAGATAGCAATAGCCTAAAGAGTGAATGTAAATATTACCCCTTATTTAAAGCTATAACTCACCATAGTTAGTAAATAAAAAATTACTAGATTATAAAATAAAATAATTCTACTTGGATATGTTTGGGCTGGGGGGAGAGAAAGGAGCAGTGGTGTCCTATAGTCGAAATCAGTTTACTGTTCAATCTGACTAGTTGCCTAAAATGGCTATGAAATAATTAAACAAATTAGACTGACAAGAGTTGAGTTGAGCTGAGAAGGGAATGCTTTGCCCAACACATTCCGTTCATCAGACAGGCTGAGAAGCAACGTAGACATTTTCCACTCTGAAGAGGACAGTACCTGTTCTGGGTGTGACCCTCCACCTGGTCGGTCACCTGCCCCAAGGATTCTTCCTCTTGCTTCTGCCGCAGCCTTTCCTGTCGGGCTCGCCGGCGCCGTTCCCGGGCGGCCTCTTCCTCATCGTCGTCATTCCTCTGGTAGGCGATTCTGCAACATCACAGAAACAACCCTCTGAGCATGCCAACTGCCAACCATCTTCACCATCTTCTTGGCAGGATCAGCTCCGAGTCCTTTTCTAAACTGGACTCCTACTGAACCACAGAGTTCTAAAAGGAAGGTTCTGTTCCTTCAGTTTAGAGACTCAGTGTCTAGTTTTCAAACTTTTATGTATCTGAAAAGCACTAACCCAATATCTATGGAAGATAATTTGCCATGATCAAATAAACAGCTTAAATTAAAAAATCTACACAAAAGCAGGTTGCCTTCAGAGACTACATTAGCAAATTCAGTTAGATTCCTTTACTAAGCTGAGGACCAGCTTGTAAACTTTAGAAACCAAAGCATCAAACTGAAAAAATCAAAACACTTATTAAAAAGATTCAAAGCATGTTGTACTCATTATTTGTAGAGACATTGTTACAAGGTCAGAAAAGAATCAAGTTAAGTAACCAAACCAGGACTTAGACATTAAAAAGCCCAAATCCCTAATTAAAATCGAGAACAGAATATCCTCTTTGTTTGGATTTTCTATTTTCCTTTTAGTTCCTTTTCACAGCAGAGAGGTGGCAACTGAAAGGAGGCTTCCAAGTCAGTGCAATTCCCTCTAAGGCTCCTCTTTTGTTCTAAAAACACATGCCAGGCACGTCATGGTTGCCCACACATGTGCATTGACGTAGACAGATAAGGGCTAGGGCAGGAGAAGAGGCACAGAGGGCTACACATTCATCTATTTTATTTAGCTTTCATACTTTCAGCTGAAGCAAATGCCTATTTAGGAAAATTATACCATCAATATCATCACGTTAGATAGGTTTTCCTTATTCCCCAATAAAGAACCGGAGCTAGGAACTACAGAATCTCAGACTCAGGAGGAAATGACCTGAATGGTTAACTTGGCTACAGTTGAGAGATTAATGTGTATGGAGACACACAGTGCAAAGAAGGATGGACGTGCTGGCCCAGGGACACGCTGGCCTGATGGGTCCATGGGTTGGGATGGAGATGCGCTGTGCAGAAGGCTGCTTTTTACATTAGTTAAGGTGCTTTTATTGCAGTACTAGAGGCCTGGTGCATGAAGTTTGTGTAAGGGCCTTGGCCCCCACCTGCCGAGGCTTTGGCCATTCGGTCTAATTAGCATGTTACACTTTTATTATTATAGATTACTTACATATCTACCTATAGGTATCCCTGATATGCAAGTTTCATGCTTGCAATTCTTATATAAAAACAAAACTAAAGTACAAATGAAAGAAAACAAAAATATAAACTGTATGTGGAACCACACAATTTATACCAACAACATGAACCTAATAACTGAGACTGGTTTGCTGTGGTTAGGTTTACATACCCGGCATGTTTAGGCATAGATCCAAAGCGATTTGACTTCAGTAATACAAACGCTATGATTTTTTTTTCTTCTCACCCAGATAGCTTATAAAACACAAAATAAACAAAACCTAAGGTTGGTTGGTTGGTTCTTTACTGCTTCAGAAAAATCTGGCTTCATACTTACTAAAATCTGCTAGTGTGTAATACTCAAATTCCAATATAAATAAAATGTCAGCGGCTGGTTTATTTCTGCAAATGTGGTGACAAGAGCAGAGTGATATAGTTAAAAGATAACTAGGTTAGTACTCAGAAAACCTGGTTTCTAGAACTGGCTTCTCACTAGCTGGTCGTCCTTGATTTTCTGGAGTTAAATTGCCTTGTCTGAAAGCGTGTGTGAGTCTAATGAAACCGAGGGTGTTGTGGTAAGGCATTCTCAATACTCAGCAGAGTATTTTATTGCTCTCAGGAAAGTGCAGTTGAGGAGCTGCTTTATGAGAAAAGATGAGTTCAATTTTAGACTCGTTGAACTTGAGGTGACAACATGACACGATGTGAATGTTCCCTTCTAAATTCAATCACATTGTAGTTTGCAGTGACATTCCCAGTGGTTTGGCTTCAGCTTCTTGGCCTAATGTTCCTTTGGCTTATTTCTCAGTAGACAGCTTTAACCACAACAGGGTCCTTAATGACTGCTTCCCAAGCCAATCAAACACAAAGCCTTAATATGTTCCTCTACATCTCTGGATCAGCCGAGGTCTTGGCTATTACGGGGGACTTCCTTTTCCAAGATAAGCAAGAGGCATAAAAGTTCCATATGGGACGTCCTAAGCTACAAACAGAACTATCTCCTTTTCCTGAATGCAATTTCATTTTTAGCCCTTCATTTCCTTCTATGCTTGAACAATGTGAGATGTTACTGTCTTCCTCCCACCTACCCATGTGCTTCGCAGCTGGCTGTTGTTGGCTTTTAGTTCTGACACAAACTTGATTTGCCACCGAGGACAAACCCCACTCGGCCTCTCTTCATCTTAGATTTCTCATTGGAGGAGTGGCCTGAACAACTAGATTATACCCAGTCTCCTGTAACTCTTCTCACGTGGTAGAGCCTGAAATTTACAGTCCATCACTCTCCATCAGTAGGATATAGTTTCCAGAACTAGATTTTTAAGGATCTTTTATTACTACTGATGAATATGCAAATGAAAATTGTTTCAAAGAACAAAAGAGAGGCAAAAGGACTTCATGGTATTTTGAATCATAACATGCCCAGTTGCCGGCTCAATAACATATCAGCTGACTCTGTAAGTAAAGTTGTGTCCATACCAAATGACTTGACATGTGTGGACATTCTTCAGATGTGAGACTCCCTGCATTAGTCCTTGGTGTGCAAAGCCAGGTAGTTTCTTGCTTTTAAGTCTGACCCACAGCAACCTGCCTTTCACATAACTACACGGGTTTATATATATTTTCCTTCAAAATTAAAAAGAACTTAATTGTTCATTTCTTCTGATTTTAAAAATAACATACACTTATTTTCTTAAATCAGACAATACAAAATATATAAAAGAGAAAGTGAAAATTAGCTCCTTAATCACACAACTCAGACATAAAAAATGATTAATACTTCAGTCTGTAGGCTGATGCTCTATCCACTGAGCCAAATGGGTCAGGGCAAAATGATGAATACTTGATTCATTCTACCAGACATTTTCCCATGTATTACAGATGATTTTTTTTAAAAAACAAAATGGAAAAAACAAAACAAAATTTTTTTAATTTACTGAGGTAAATATAGTTTTAAATTTACCTTATTTATGATTATTTTTAACATACAAGTAAAATATAATTTTCACAGTATTCTATGTACAGATGTACACAGTAATTATAGAGATGTATTATAATCTATTTAACCTATTTTCTCCTGATAGTTAAGATTTTTCCAAATTTATGTTCTTGCAAAAAAATGCTGCAAAGGACATCATTATAGCTATACTTTTAGCACTTGTTCCATTACCCACCCAGGAAAAATTCTCTTAGAATTTCTGTGTTTAAAAGTATGCTCACTTTAAAGACTTGTGATACACACTGACAACGTGCCCTCCAGAAAGGTATGCAACATCAGCAACGTACGTGCGTGCTAATCTCACCATAAGCAGAATTTATCCAAAAAGACATCCAAATGCTAGCTCAACATCTAGTTTATGCTCCCGTTAAAGATGAAATGTGAACATTTCTAACCTCCCACACATCAGATGAAAATGTATTTGAAAGGCTGCTGACGAGTAAACCTCATGCCTTACCACCCACTGGATGGTAATAAAAGCACAACAATCCATTCGTTCCTCCTGAGAAACGTCAGCAGATGTGGTGTTAGCCAGGGTATGGTGCTCTCCGCTACAAAGAGCTGATGTTCCCAGATGATTCAGAGGCAGTGTGGGCCCGGACTTCCTCTGAATCATCTGGGAAAGACGAAACCATGTTTATTAGAGTTTTAATTGAATGCATTTTATTTGAAAAAGGTAACCTCAACTGATATGTAAAATACCTCTCTATTAAAAAAAGTTTGATTGACAAGAATCCATGACTTCCCTGGCCCACGCTGGGTGTCAGCAGGGTTAGGATGGAGTGCCGGGCTCTGTGTTTTGGTAGCTGCCTTTGCTTATCTGTGGAGGCACAAACACTTGGAGAAAGGTACGATCGAGCTTACTGCCGGAGGCCAATGCTGCCTCTTATAAACCATTGCAATTGTACATTCGGTATTTCTCTTACTGCAGAGCAAAAAAGCTCATCAAATACTAGTATTCAGGGGAAAGAAAAGAAATGGTGTGTGTGTGTGTACGCACGCATGAATAAGAAACAATCTCAAAGTCCCTAATAATCACATGATTATTAATAATCACATTTGACTGTCAGTGATATGAACAAAGTAGAGAGAACTGGCTTTTCTTCCATTCCCAGAAGCACTGCTAGAAGGCTCTGGTGTTAAATTATAAGAAAACACAGACCTATGCGTTGGGAAAACTCTCTTGGAATGCTGTGGCTTTCACACCAAAGACGTACTCTACCACCAGCGTGCTACAGCCTGTGTATTCAAGTAACAAAACAATCATGTTACACGCTGTGTCTTTTAGATAGAAAGTTCAAATAAATAAAAGTACTGCAGGTATGGGGAGGGAGAGAAAGGTATTGTAGATATGGCAAAGAAGGGAATTTCTGAGGAATTGGTGTCTTTATGCCTGGATGGGCCAGGATCTAAATATATATCGATGAGAGGAAGAGGCAGTAACAGGAGCTTCCACAGGTAAGACATTGGAGCAGGCATTCCTTGTCATCTTGCCTGTGTTATCCTCACCCCATCACAGATTTCTTAAGACTGTGCAACACCGGCAGCATGTCATTTACAATAAAGGTGGTTTTCCCTCATGTGCTCCAGGATTTGAAGAATGTTGTTCTTATTTCATTTTGTCTTCTTTCCATTTTGCTGTTCTCTGATTTGAGACGATAGTACATGATCCTTGAACTTTTCAAGTAAAAATGCTGGGAACAGTATTTTATTAACAAAACAAGATCTCTTATCAGAAAATCATGTTTAAAAATAGAATAAGAAAAAGTAATAGCCATTTTTAAATGTTCTTATTGATTTTTATAGAGAGAGAAAG